CAAATATCCCTCAGATATGATTCCTGCAGTTTTCCAGGGGAATCCCCATCATTACGTAATCAACAATTCAGTGTCACTCATTCTTTGCAGGCAGTGTCCTCTGGCCCTTGAAGCTGTCCTGGGCCTTCTGTCACTAGGGGTCAAGGGAACAGAGGTTGCCGCCCTGACAATCAACAGTCTACCAAACACCAACAACTTGGAGTGGTGAGCAGTAAATCAATCATGATCTTACCCGAATCATTTTGTATAACTTACACAAAGGACCCAAAACCTCTTAGGTTACAGAAGCATGTGCTGTCAAATAGGCTGAATTGGGAAAGCTGAGTTAAGTGGGTGTTCGGCCTTTGGAAAAAGTCTTTCGAGCAGCGTAGCATTGTAGTCCATTCTTTTTCCGTGTCCCCAATTAAACTGAAATATGAAATGAGACACGAGGAGTGAAGCTGTCGTACCAAGGCAGTGTTGGCTGACCACGTTTAATGTAAAGGAGTACAGTCGTCCAGACATATAAATGACCTAGTTATTCATGAACTCTACATCTCATGACTTGAACTCTAGTCTGAGTCCTTGTGTAAATATTTAAACATTTGCAGTGCACTTTTTCTGTACAAATGCTTAGATTCCTTTGCATAATCAAAAGCCCCAGCACTCTGAGCTCATCTACGTGTGGTTTTCCAAGCTTGATTTCTTCTGTAAATCCTCACGCTAGACATCAGTACTTGCAAGACTGTGTGGAATTTCCTCTGCTGCTGTAAACCGTAACCTGAAGAACTTTTTAACTATGTCTCGTATGTAGCAGTTGAGGGCACGGATGACCCCTGGAATTTAGAGTCATCTTGCCTTCCAAATGAAAGTACATGTATGTCAGACTCTTGCCAAAACTCAAGATAATAGTGAGGTCTTTGTTTTACAGTTCACCTTGATAGTTCGAAAATCTGGTCGGTAGCTAGAGTGATTTGGTTTCTCTCCTAGGTTGACGTTTTGGCTGAAAGGGCACGCCTACAATGCCAGCAAAGATTATGCCAAGGCTGTCAGTACTTTCAAGAGCCTAGAGTCTGGGGTAAGTCCGATCACCAGAAAAACCAGTTCCAATTAGAGATTCTCTTTTACCACGCAGTAAATACCAGTATTTCAGCTTAGTGACATGGACTGAAAGATCTCCAAATTCCTGAATAATGGCCTGGATCACCCTCTAGTCAAGTAAACGAGTCACAAGTGACCTGAGCCTACTTAGAATTAAAATCCTTCAAGAGAATCTTAAACTGTGTCATAATGAAAACCCTCAATGTTTTTCCCCATGTACATGTATTGTCCACTTCCATCAGGATTCCAAAATGGGTGACACATCTAGGCTCAAAGAACTCCGTTTTCTCTTTCTTATGCAATCTAAAACAGAATTACCAAGAAAATGAACTGGAGACTTGTTTTGTGGGATCCAGTCACAAATGCCATTGGTGAAGTACAAGATACCACATGTACGCATTGGCCAAGTTTTAAATACTGGTGTGTTCTCCATGCAGGGGGCACTGGAATTAGCACAGCCATTCCTTGTATCAGTCCTAGGGAAATCATTGCTTTGTATAAACATTTAAGTATGCTCTCGTAGTCACACCTGGGACAGTGATTTTCACCTGTAAGGGCTGATGAATCGAAAGCTACTCCGATGCATTTTGCATTGCACATTGTCTCTTAACATCGTCGCATGAAAATGTAAAATCATTTTTCCGGCGAGTCTCTTTTACGCTTCATTGTATGTGGTCATGTCCCACAATCTGACACAAAAGAAAATGCGTCAATGTTAAACATCCAGGCGACTGCTTATTAAAGCAAAACCACCTTCGACAAATTGTGTGCTTTTTTTTTAATCCCTTTCTTTAACCACTGCTCATTTTTCCAGAGTGTTTTACGAGAGAACAGCATCGTGCTGTGCTGTCTAGCTGAGAACCACTTCCTGGCAGGGGACCTGGCAAATGCTGCACTGGTATACAAACGGGTAAGAAGTCAAATCGATGTGAACAAGATTATCTTTAACATAAAGAATAAATATTCCATGAGGTTCACTTTTCCTTGAAAATATTCTCTAGCCCTGTCCATTTTCGGTTTTATCACAAACAAAAGTTAGCTATTTTTCACTGTTCTGAATACCAATAAAGATTGCACATGACTTGCCATTGTTTGTCAAAGATACATGTACTTGTATCAGCTCTTGCAATCTACCGATTTTTTTTTGTATTGGTTGAAAACCAGATCATATCTTGTCACTGTCTCTTTCTTCAGTGAGTAATGCAGTTTTGTGCATGTATTTCCCAATGTATTTTAGGTTCACAGTTTGGATATGTTGTGTCTAAGAGGAATGGACATCTACGCTTACTTACTCGCACATGAAAAGCAAAAGGAGGAACTCATGAGGTCAGGAAGTAGTGACCAAAAATTTAACAGTACATTGCCATTGAACCGTTAATTGCGAAAAGTCTCAAGAGGTACAGTTTTGTAATAATTTTTAAATTGAAATCCAATAGATTGTTGAAATTCAATAGATTGTTCTCTTGTGTCATCTCGAATTGAAAGCAAGGTTAACTTTTCATTTTGAGAACCACAGAGTAAATGTACCAGCAATAAAATAAAGTTCTTTACAGATTCATGCCAGTTTACTTTTAGAATGATTCAAAATTTGTGACCAATTTCAATTCAAAAGCACTCGCTTCTTTCCCTGCGCAGCCTTGCGTCCAAACTGATGGCGGTAACCGAGCAAAGAGCGGAACCCTGGATTGCCATGGGCTACTACTACTCCAACATACCATCCAGGGCCAGCAGGGCCGTCTACTTTGCCCAGAAGGTACACCTGCTTTACAGAGCTTCACAGCGCTCGGCGCACCCATTACTTGTGCACAATTTCACCACCGACTACCCCCTCATGTTGATTTTATTTCTTAGTTTTAACCACTTCCTGCCGGGGACTCTGGCATCGGAGACCTATGGTTTATATGCGTGGCCAGGGTCTCCGAACTCAGACAAAGGAAACAGGGCCCTCTAACAAAAGACCGTACTCCGAACAAAAGACCAGGCTGCTGGGAATCATCGACATTTTTCATTCTCAAAAGTGGTAATAATCCAGCCTTGTTTTGAAACTGTATACCAGGGTTTGGGGCATTGAGAGCGAGCGGATTACCCCCGGGGACAAAAGCGCCCCACCACCGCAGCGATGAGCCACACAGCACCGCTGCACGTTAATCTGGCCCCTATTGAAAAGAGGTCAGCAGTGCACTGAGCCAGGTTCGCGAACAAAAGAAAGTTACATAACACTGCAC